ACACCGCTCTAGGCCATGATATAATTCCCCACTATGTCTATACCCCACAAGGCAAGACGTTGACCCGTAAAGGGTGGCGTTGTGGTTTTGGTATGAAGCTGGGCTGCAGTTTAGGGAACAGTCTTCCTGAGCCCCTCCCTATAGTGATGCTCATGGCAAAATTGACCTTCAGGAGTGCAATGCTAGCGAGCAGGCCAACTAATATGTAGTGCTATTGATTAACTGGAAGCACAGCTATGCCCACTCTGCCTGTCATCTCTTTCTTCCTTCACTTCAAATACACTGGGAGCATGGTGGAATGACAACATGGCCCAAACAGTCCTGGTGCTTCACGCTACCAGGACTGAGCTACCATGCTATTAGCAACAAAGCCATAGCACTGTGGCAGCCTGGAAAACTCGCTAATGAGCGAGTTCGCACTCAGACCCCACATGGTTTTGTTTTAATTGTTCAGATGATACACTCATGTGTGCTTCTGCACAAATGAGAAACCCCAACCAAGATGCACAGCCGGCGTTTGGGTTTTGTGTAATTGAGCCACATGTGTTTCGAATGCATTAGCGGTTAGCGCCTGGCTCGGAAGCTGCTCCTGCTTGGCTGAGAGTAGCGATTACAGTAGGCATTGTCACGACGAAGGAGAATGTTTAAACACTTCCGAGTGCTGTATCAGCTTGATTGACTGTGCTCAGACACAGAGAAGTCAAAACTAAATGCTTTTCTTTTTTCTGAAGCAGCGGAAATGTCAGATTATCTAATTATACTGTTGTGGATTGGAAACAAATGAAGAACTTTTGCATAATATATATAATTAAAACATGCAACTAGTTTTTCTTTGTCTAAATTCAACACTGTTGCAGAAACGTGCTCTGCAATTCAAACATAAACTCGTGACCTTCAATCGTAACCAATATGGATGTGTTGCTAAGTGCAGTTGTTAAAGCCAGTAACAGCCCTTAGTAGCCTGTTAGATCTGTGGACAACAGGCCGAGAGCTGGAGTGAGTAGACTAAGATGAAGAACATAATTAAGGAAACATATGAAAGCTGGTGCTGGCTCTGTGATTATTTAGCCTCCTGTCGATACTCTCATCAATACCTGATTAACAAATGACACATTGCCCAATGAATGCTATTGATCCACTGGCATTCTGAAACGTTAATGCATTGAAGCTGCTTTGCAAAATTGGGAAAGCCGGGAAAAGAAAGACAGACAGAGAGAGAGAGACACAGAAAGAAAGCAAGTGAGAGAGCTATTCTCGTGTAACAGCTTCATGAAACTGTAGCAAAAAGTCTGGCTAAATTAACTGTAACTGAATTTCATTCTTATGAATATGAAAAGCCTTACAGTATATGACAGAGAAAAAAAAATATTTATGTTTAGTTTTCTATCAGGTTAGTAGTTTTTTTTAATTTTTTTTATTATTATTACTGTACTACATCTCAGTTAGTACAGTTGCATGGAAGTGAAGTGTATTCAATTTTAACAATAAATCAAGATGCAATATTGCTACAGGAACAGCATGTCTGCTACACAAAGGCTGTTTCTGAAATACAGGTCTCACTCAGCCCTGTTAAAAAACTCCATAAAACGTCCATTCACAAAACACTTCCCAGGCACTAAATATACCTTCGCTTCCTGCCAGTTTAAATAAACAAGCATGCTTGGCAGCCATTTCCCCCAACCAGCAGTCAGCTGCAGATAGCTGTATAATTTCAGCTTTAACAAATGACTGCAGCGCACAGCCAAAATAGAGTTCGAGCTAAATTAATGGTGCCTGAGCAGCCCGACATCAGTAGTGCGGGATTAGCCCCTTTACATTAATGATAGTAATGAGCACTTAGATGAGGGATGAACAAGACTGTCCGCCGGTTGGAGCTTTATGCAGGTTAATTAGGTAAGATAACATCATTAACCACTCTCATGCCTACACATGCAATTAATTGGATAAGCTGAAGCCGGAAACACAGATTCAAGTCTATATTTAATCATATCACCAATCAAGGACAGTCGTAGAGGAGAGGTGGAGGACCACAAGGAGATGTCTTATTTAGATTGCCTTTACAACCAGCCTATTAAGCACCTAGATCCTAATGGCACACTTTGTGATATGGATAATGAAACAGGAAAGTGAAATAGTAGCACTGAAGCAGAGCCACTATCTTTGAAAAAGACATCATGGGCCAGTGTGTCCCATGGGCTGCTTATCATCGAACCCAAGTCATTAGTCAAACACAAAGCTGTGATGAAATACAGTCAAATAAAGGCATATCAGTCAAAATGATCATCACTTGATGATTCAAATGATGAAAAAATGCATCCGTGGACATTCTCTATCATGTACATTATGGGTGCATGATAGAGGAAGAGGTGTGTGATGGAGGAAGAGGTGTAATTATATATATAATTTTAGACATTCATATATTTACTGTTTGTAAACAATTTCTATAAAACACATGACCATATTTTATAAGTGTCCCCTACGAAAAGGACAGGAATGGCCTAGTTGCATGGCAATCGATAACAAAGCAGAGAGAAGGGATGGAGAGGGAGAGATGGAGAGACAATGTAAATGTGTGTGTGTGTGTGTGTGTGTGCGTGCCGGTGTGTATTTAGGCAGACGTTATGTCCTGTGACTGTTTGCAAGCAAAATGCTTTGTTTTGCATCTATCCTTCATACCAGCTGTTTGACTCCTTTGGTTGCCTTTGTGCTGAAGTATGTTTGTACTAGACACTGTAAATTATGAATGAGGAACCTTTGTATAAATTGTCATGATGCATAATGAATGTTTACAAACCTACATGATGGGTTACCTTGAATGGACCTCATTACAGTAATTGATGTTGAGAAGTAACAAAGCCCTCTTTCGCACATAGAGTAGCTCTACTAACGCAGGCAAGAGCCTCTTTTGACGGCTGCCTCAATACCAGGAGATTCATATCAATAATAAAAGCACAATTAGAATAGGTCTAAACCGGATAAGCCATCTGGTAGATGCAGGGCACTGTAATATTAGCATCAGCTCTAACATGGCATCTAACTGATAAAACAGCTTCCCCTAAATGTTAATGTTGATTAGAATTGTGTATATATAAAATAAGTGAGTCACATGTACTTAAAAAAGTTGGTTCCCCAAGTTATTAGTTTCATCTAAAAAGTAAATAGAAAACCGCTTCCAGAAATCTTTAAGAATTCTAAAGTGTGGTTGGTTCTTGTTAAAAACCTGTGTAATGTGTGAATAAAACATTATCACTACAGGAAATATACACATTATTTAGCCAGAAAATCACTTTTCAAAATTCAACATTACTGCGCTACAACCTCTTACCAGCACCCCCTGCTGAATAAGGCTAAACAGTTTTTTTTTTTAATTGCTGCAGTATTTTCTACTGCAAAAAGCAAATAATTAAAGGCCATTAAATGATATAAAAAAAGTAAATAAATTATATCTAACACTGAACAGGAGAAAAAAATAAAACTCTGTAAAAAATGAACATTTTACAGCTTTAAAGATTAAGTACAAAATCATATCAGCTGCTTCCACTCTGTAATTAAATTTATTTAATTAAAAAAAAAAAAACACCTTCATGATATCTCAGAAAAAGTGTATTGTGACATAATTTATCAAGATAGCAATAGTCATATTTGCCCCGCCCTAGCTGACAATGCACACATTCAGACAGAATTCAAGCCTGTGTCCCAAACTGCAGAATGCACACTAAGTAGTATGCCTAAATATTAATGACACCAATGATGTTTTGACATATACGTTAGCATGCAGTTTGGAATTTAGCCCAACAATTCATATTTTGCAGTTGTTTGCATTGTGTCGTTAGGTTTCTAGCTAAAACAACTTCTCAACTGGGTTGTAATACTAACTCCACGACTAGGATAAGTTGGCTATTATTCACTATATTGGCTTCCCATTATATCAGCCTTCCATCAAATTAGAGAATAAATAAATGTTTTATCTGTTCAAAAAGAAAAAAAAAAACTAAAACGCCATTAATCCTGCATGCATTTTCCTATCATAGTACATTAGACTTTTTCACTCTCTGTCTCTCTGTCTCTCTCTCTCTCTCACACACACACACACACACACATGTGGACTCTCTTTCTCCTGATTGGCTGCAGCTCCTGCCAGTCCCTGTGTAGTTCACTAGGTAGATCTTTTGTACCTGAAATTGGGGTGCGATGACATTTGCTGCATAAGCGCTGGAGTATGACGCATGAGTACAAATTTTTCCCAATTCTGACCCGGCACCTCAAAACAGTGCTGATTGATGAGTGCCATTATGGGTCTGTCAGGGCGACTGACAGCAGCTCAGGTCAGCTCGCTATATTATACTATGTACACCATAAGTAACATTAAGAAATCAACCAGCACTTGTAATTATTTATTTTGTTAATAATATATCAAATATGCCAAATAACACCTGCATTAACCAAAGTTCATACCATCAATGAGCAAAATTAAGCTCACAGTGACCAATATGGACCAATAACTCTTTGCATCTGCGAACTGGCAAAATTCAGAACTGCGACCAGAGTTCAGTAAGTTATCAGCAGGAACTATAATTTGATTTTGCTCATTCATGTTGACTTATTTTAGTCATGGATTGATTAAACATCATTTAATACACGTGATAATTTATAATTCTAGTTAAGGGCACCTTAATGTGAAGTGTTACCAATGTCGTATTCTTCCCTGACTCAGTAATAATATGTTAATAATAAAAATGTTTTTCAGCTTTAAGCTGAAATAGATACAAGGAAGTCATGTTACAAATGGCTTATCCAAAGTGCCTGATGCAACAACAGAAGGATGTCCTAAAAGGTTGTTGTTCTTTTGGCTGCTCCTGTTAGGGTCACCACAGCAGATCATTGGTCTACATGTTTGATTTGGCACAGGTCTTACACTGGATGCCCTACCTGACCCAACCCTCCATTTTCATCTGGGCTTGGGACCGGCACTAAGAGTACACTCCCTGTAGCTGTGTTGGTTCCCTGCCCAGGAATTGAACCTGGGCTATGGGAGGGTGAGAGTGCAGGATCCTTAGCCGCTTGACCACCAGGGAACATGTCCTAAAAAGTATAATTGAAAAACAAATGCAAAAATACTTTAAACACTCCTAAACTTAGTCAAGCACAAACACAATTTAGTTGCTTGCCGACCATTAAAGCAGTCTCCAGGTCCTGACGCACCAAGCTGACTACCAGTTATAGGACACGGCTAAACACCTAGGATAACCACTGCCCAAGGTGTCTGGTGTGTCTTGAACCATTGACACCACTAGGGCTTTTCTAGCTCTTGTAAGGCTCAACTGACACACTGACTACCATCAGAGGCCAACAGGAGACAGGCTTCTGTAACTGGCTGGACAGCCTGGCAAGTATGTGTAGAAAAACAGAAACAGAAGAGAGCAAGTTATTTCTCAATTTTTGTAATGAAATTAAGTGATTAAAAAATGATAGTTGCTATGTTAGTTGTGTGGTTAATAGTATGTCACACTACTTTTACATTTATATTTTGCCTACTGTGAAACATGGCAGAGTATAAGGGCATTGATGAGTTTGATTAATTTCAACTCATAACTGTATAACTGCCCATAACTGTATAACTGTGTAACTTTTTGTATATTCAGTGAGTCATGTGAATTGCTATAAATTGGAGAGCATGAAACAGGCAGGTGAAATGCTCAAAAGTAAAAACATGATGATTAAAGGTTTACTGCGCACAGTTAAGAGGTGCAGATGAGTTAACAACAGCAGCTGACACTATGTTTAGCAGGTGAAGAGCCAAACCACAAAGCAGTCTCTCTGAAAGTGTAATGGATGCCCACAGCTCGAATAGCACAGCACAGGCGAATGAGGCCTCACGCACGCATTATGTTTCTCCGCACGTGTGCACGAGAGATGGCTTTCCAGACTTGCGCCCTATCTGTTGTCATAGCAACTTGTGTTTATCGCCTGTAGAACTCTGGGGAAAAAAGTTTCATAGGATCCTCACTGTCCAGGAATCGCCTGCGGAAATAACGGGTGTGAGACTTATAGGCCTGGGGATATTCACTTAGGCAACAAGGTGGAGTGATCTCCGTTCGGGTGGCTATGAAATTCCATCCTTCAGCTCTGCTGCAGAGGTAACAAAAGATGTCAGGCAAATATTTCAGCTGCCACAACAGCAAGAAGACTGAAAACAGAGCGACCTCTCGCCCAGGATTAACAGCTGAGCAAACCTGACTGATCAGTAGCCCAGTTCTACTGAGATGCTGTGATGGCTACTGTGTGTGTGTGTGTGTGTGTGTGTGCATGCTATGTTTTGCCCTTTAGCGACTTTTAACGTATTTTGTTTATTTATGATTATTTGATTATCTTTTGGCTTACCTTACCAAATGCACACATCATAAAAGGAAAGAAAGGCAGTTAAGTGCAAAAGTTTACAACATTGGGTGAAAAAAGAGAAAGCATACTTCTATTTAACAATTTAACAGTATCTACAATAAATACTTTTAAATCGAAGCTGTTCAGAGGAGACAAATTGAGTTTTAAAGTCTAAGAGTGGGCATGCACATTTTAAAAAACATATCACATAAATAGAGGAATAGAGATGCAAAGCATTTTGTTGTTTTCATTAATATTTGAATGTACACTGTTCTGTGTGATAATGAAGAAACATTGGCCTATGTAGAACCTAAAACAAGTTTCTTTGTTGTATAAATGTTTGTCTGCTTATAAATGTTTATATTCTTCATTTTGTCCTAAGGGTATGCTAACAGTCACACTTAACACTAGGTTACTGTTCTTAGTTAAAGCTCTTATATGCCATCATATGAAGCATTGTTATTGTGGAACAGAGCAATGAGATGAAGCTTGCTTGGCTGCAGAAGTTGCAGGATTGACATTCTGTTGTCTCAGGACGGTTTGTGTGCTGTGTGAATGTACAGGCAATTGCATTTGTTAAAGTGAGTCCCTGAAGACCCTGTGACAGTCATCCTCACGTTATTCTCATAACATGATTTGGGATATAGAAGACATATAAAGCATCTATCCCCTATCCCCTTTTAGCTGAGAAAAAAAGAAATCAACAAATGAGAAATGTGGACATCAAACTGTAGTCTTTAGTCTAATAATATATATTGTGGAATAGCTGATATGTATCCTTTCATGAATGGAAAAAATATTTCTTTGTCTTCGGTGTCTTTAGCACAAAGCTGTTTCGGAGAATGAAGTGAGATTCTGAAGTAGGAAATAGCTGTGATGTCTGTGTGACTTGCGCCAGAGTGATATTAGGCGGTCTCATTGTTCGTTATTGCGAGGTGGTGGATTGTTTTTATTATTGCACAGAATGTAATCAGAAACAATGTCCAAAACGTGTTACAACACACATTTCTCTCCCCCCCATGCAAAATGTTGATTCAGTAGCTTAACATGTTTTACGATCACACCCAATGGAGAGCTGTTTAGTGTGAAAAAGTGTAGAGTTTCACCCTAACTTGCATGGTAAGGGATAATCTTTCACATTTAGCCTGGGGTTTGTTTTGCTGTTTCAGCAGGAACTTGAGGAAGCTGTGTGAATTACAATGGAGTAACGAGATGAAAAAAAAGCCCAAATAGTCTTCTATTTGACGGAAATGAATAGACGGGAAATAATTTGTTACCTTAGATAATAAATGAATGCCTCTTTCATTGTCCCTCATCTAGATATGTTGTCAAGATAATGCTACTATAAACACAGTGAAGCTCATAAAGGTGAAGAGAAAGAGCTTACTCAACAGTGACAGTGTGTTGGTGAAATACACCATTATGCATTTTATTACCTCATGTTCAGGTCTCCACCATATTGTTGTTTTGGATCTATATTTGTATGCATTTATACATGCATGCTTGTGGTACTTTCACCCTTTTTGGCAATATCTTCATCTTTAACAGTTTGTTGTAGATTATAAAGAAAACAAGGATAGTTTTCTGCATTTTACTCCTTCTGAAATTTCCCCTATTCACTGTCTAATTATCAGGAGTGAAAAAATTCATAGGCTACTTAAGTAAGTTAGATTATGTGTACAGTGTTTAACTTTTAATCAGAAGAGGAAATTTGTGTCCACACATACGAACAGTGCCATGAATAAGTATTCACCTACTTGAACATTGTCCCCATTTTGTAGTGTTACCTAGAACTGAAATGTACTTAACTGGGATTATATGGCATGAATCTACACAAAATAGCCAATTATATTGAAATGGGTTTCAAATAAAAAACATACAATTTTTATGGTGTCTATCGAACTTTCCAGCAACATGTCTATTTATACTGAGATTATGTGACACTTTAATTGCACACAGATTGACTACATTCAACTAATTATTTAACTTCTGATGGCAACTGTCCCAAATCTAATTTAGGGGTTTCACAAAAATGGGGTGAATACTTATGCACTCACAATGTTATTTTTTTATTTGTAAATTTGTCAATTTTGGAAACTATATACATTTTTCTCCCTACTTCAGTATTATAGGCTATTTTGTGTAGATTCATGATGTATATTCTCACTAAAACCTTTTCACTTTCAAGTTAAAACACTACAAAATGTGAGAAGATTCAAGGGGGTGAATACTTATGCAAGGCACTGTACACTCAGGTATTTAAAAGTAAATTAACTAAGGACTTTTGTCACCAAACCTGTTCTCACACTTGTGAATTTGGTAATATTTGCAAGGCTCAGTTAGTTTCAAAGGCAATGTTCATCCCATTACTTCCAGCTTAATTTATATGAAGTTGAATGAAATCCATCCACATCAAACTCATTTGTTTAACTTTAAAATATGAACATAACTTTAATGTAAAATGAGACCAGGTGATGCTTATTTAATATTCAGCTGTCCAGTGTGGGTGAGTCTCTGCCCACTGTAGCCTCAGTTTCCTGTTCTTGGCTGACAGGAGTGGAAACCAATGTATATATATATATATATATATATATATATATATATATATATATATATATATATATATATATATATATATATATATATATATATATATATATATATATATATATACAGTCAGGTCTGGAAGTATTTGGACAATGACAGAGCTTTTGTGGTTTTGCTTTTATACACCACCACAATGGATTTGAAAGAAAACAATCAAGATGTGATCAAAGTGTAGACTTTCAGCTTTATTTTAAGAGGTTCCACAATAATGGCATTTACCATTTAGGAATTACAGCCATTATCAGCAAAGTACTTCCATTTTCAGGGGCTCAAAGGTATTTGGACAAAGTGATATAATTGTAAATACAACCATAATTTTAATACTTGGATGAAAATCCTTTGCAGTCAATGACTGCCTGAAGTCTGGAGCCCATGTTCTCAAAACTCAAATTCTGAGTTTCCTCCCTGGAGATGCTTTGCCAGGCCTTCACTGCAGACACCTTCAGTTGCTGCTTGTTTGTGGGTCTTTCTGCCTTCACTCTTGTCTTCAGTAAGTGAAAAGCAGCTCTATTGGGTTGAGATCAGGTGACTGACTTGGCCATTGAAGAATATTCAATTTCTTTGCCTTCAAAAAGTCTTGAGTTGCTTTCGCAGTATGTTTAAGGTCATTATCCACCTGCACTGTGAAGCGGCGTCCTATCAGTTCTGTAGCATTTGGCTGAATGTGAGCAGAGAGTATAGCCCTATACACCTCAGAATTCATCTTGCTACTTCTGTTAGCAGTCACATCATCATTAAACACCAGTGAGCCCGTTCCATTGGAAGCCATACGTGCCCATGCCATAACACTGCCTCCACCATGTTTGACACATGATGTGTTATACTTTGAATCATGAGCTGTTCCTTTTTTTCACCATATTTTTCTCTTCCCATCATTCTGGTACAAGTTAATCTTGGTTTCATCAGTCCAAAGAATCTTATTCCAGAACATGGGAGGCTTTTTTAGATGTTTTCTGGCAAAGTCTAATCTGGCTTTCCTGTTCTTGAATGTTACTAGTGGTTTGCACCTTGCTGTAAACCCTCTCTATTTACATTCGTGAAGGCGTCTCTTGATTGTAGATTTTGACAATGATACGCCTACCTTCTCCAG